ACGGCCACCATTGAGCTTAACTGAAAGTGTGCATGAAAACAACATCTTTACAGAAGAAACGGATATTTGAACTGACAGAGATCCGGAACAGAGTTATCATGTGGGTTTATTAGAAGAACATACATTTAGATAAGGTTATTTATTTGCATTCAAGGTTACAATCACATACTGTTGAAATAAAATATTTCTAGGATATTATTATGGAGATTTCCAGATTTCACATTCTCATCACATGAGAAAATCCTGCATTATACTCACGTGAAAGCTTCTTGTCCATAAACCTAAAAGGCAAGAACAAAACAGGTACTGTTTTACAGATACTGGACCAAACATTTAAACCGAATTCATATGAAAGTGTAACAAAAATTAAATAGCATGTGGGTTTTCTGCGTTAAATTGGAATAATATAATGTAGTTGTGAAATAAATGCAGACAAACCGGCTAGCGCAGTAGAATAACGCGATGCTCAAATTAACGCATTTCTAACAGACTTACGATCACAATCAACAAAAGGCTTGAAATACTTACTTTTTCAGCTCGGGCGGGTGTGCTTTGCTCATGTTTATTTCGTTAGATCAGACAGTTTGTTTGAAACACGTTTCAAACAATGTATGAACAGTGGCGGAAGAGGCGTACTAGGTCGCGGGATTTTCTGTACCAGTCACCGTGTGAAATATCGCCCCCTATTGTAGCGGAGGATGAACTTCAATAACATTGCACAATGTAATGTCGCTTGTCTTTCGGAAAAACAAAATATTCTTTAATGCCATATTTGGGCTACTGGTGTGATTTTTTTTTTTTTTAAGTGAAAAAAATAAACAAAAACTACCAAAACTTTTTAAACAATTTATTCGAAAACAATGCCAATGTAATGCATAACATGAGGTAAATTTTCTGACAAATATTATTCAAAAGAAAAAAAATCATCACACATCTTGGGACAAAGCAGGTGATACTAGGGGGGGGGGGGGAATATAGTTATATTTGCACTTACACTTTTGCAGTGCGCCACATCATTTTCAATTTGAGTCATAAAGTGAGTATTATACAGTGTTCAAAGACAACAAAAAAAAGTTAGTGCAAAAAAAAATCACTGCAGCCTTTGGTGTTAGGAAGAGAAAATGTTAGAAGTGTTACATAAAACATCAGAAACAAATGACGATTATTAAAGGTTAAGAAGCCCTGATATACATATTAAACAATAAAATGGACTTGTTCTGTTGCCCGAGTCACCTAATCTGAGGTCTCATATCAGCACATAATTCATTCATCCAGTCTAGTAAGAAAGTTATGAAATTATACTTGCAATATTTGGTCTGATAGCATAAAATATCATGTATATAAGGCATGCTACTATCTGTAAAGCTTCTACAATTTTAGAAGAATAAAGCTTACTTTGTTTCATGTAGTTTACGAAATACAGAAACAGAAATTTCACAATGTAAGTAAAATGCTATATAATAAAACAAGCTGAAACGCTTCAGTAGCCGAATGTAGCAAATACAAAGATATTACATCCTCCAACTTGACAGACAACAAGAAGCAGTACATACATTAAGCTGGTTTTGTGTTTCAGCAAGGCACTGGCCATCTAGAAAAAATAATTCATTTATGTGTATATGTCAAAATATTAAATTCACCATATTCTCACAGTAATATAATGGATATGACTTCTACATCGGTATAGAGGTATGAGAACATTTATCCTGAAGCAGAACTATGCACTGAGTTGAAGTGGTTTTAATTAGGTACCCGTATCTGACAAAATGCAATTGGCTTGTCGATCTTATCAAAGGCCTCTATTATTTTTCTGGCAGTTTGGCTCAGATTGGTGGAAGGGAGTTGGCCTGTGTACAACATTATACCTCATGAACCACAGAAATCAAAACCTGTAAAATACTGATAATATTCAGCCAGTTTACCAAAACCAAAAATGCCTGCAGAATATAATTCCTGATAGCCCGAACATCTGCAGACTGATTACCCTGCCCTTAAAGGGACAGTTCACCCAAAAATTTAATCAAATCATGTACTCACCCTTATGTCAGCATGTATGACTGTTTATGTGGAACATACAAGATGATATTTAAAAAAATGTTTGTAACCGTTTTAGTTGAAATTGACTTCCATTAAATGCACAAAAATACAATGGAAGTCAATGGGAATCAAAACGCTTCGGTTATCAGTATTTTTCAAAACAATCGCCTTTTATGTGCCATGACATTAGGGTGAGTAAATGATGACAGAGATTTCATTCTTAAAGGAATAGTTCACCAAATAATTTCAATTCCACAATTATTTATTCATAAAAACCTATATGCATACACAAATATGTAAAGAATATTCATTTTAGAAGCACTTTTAAGGTGCTTTTTGTCTAAATTTATGCAATGGTTCTTTTTAAAAAAAAAAGTATGTTCTGTAAGAAAAAATAATAACAGTTAACATGATTAGAATATGATGGTGAGAAAATGTGATTTTTTTTTTTTTTTTGAGTGAACAATTCCTTAGAAAAAATGGAAGCTCTTTCAATCATCACTGAATTCATCTTCATTTTCACGTATCAGATGTGTCTGGCAGTGCTCTAGAAAAGTGTTCAGGGCTATGAACGCCTCGGCACATGGCACACAGTGATAGACTTTCTTTTCACAATCTTCTGGAATCTCAGCGAGGGGAATCCCACCTGTACACACACTACAACACCTGCATGTGTCGGCTGGTTGAGCGTGTTCCTCAGGGACTTCCTCAGGGAATTCCTCATGGACTTTCTCATGGACATGCAGCTTAGCTTTGGAGCTAAAGACCTGGTCGCATGACGTACAAGGATACTCGGCATCCTCGTCTTCATCACTATCATCCTGCTTATCCATTTGCTCTTCTTCCATGTGCTTGGTTTCCATCAAAACAGGTAGATTTTTGGTCCTAGGTCTACCTCTTGGTCTTTTTTCTTGGGAAGGTCTGAGCTCCTTAGCTGCCTTTGGGCAGAACCCAGCTGCGTCAGCGCCGGATGATTTGCCACTCAATTTGAGGTGGGTCTCATGGTGAGAGCTGTAGTGTCTAAAATGCGCCAGACGCGTCAGATGGTGCAGGAACTCTTTTCCGCAATGGAGGCATGGATATGTTTCACCTTTCCGCCTTCGCCTGGTGGTCTTCAAAGAGGTTCGCTGCAGTTTCCTCACCTTTATCTCCCGCCGGTGTTCCTCTTTCCTGTGCTGATGGAGGAGTGATATCTTAGGAAATGATTCGTCACAGGAACGGCATGGAAACGACGTACTTGAGATGAGAACTTTCTTCTTCTTCTTCTTCTTCAATGTACTTACAATGACAACTCTTTTCTTCTCTGTGCTGCTTTTCATGTGCGCATGGGAAAAGCGCATGTGGCAACCAAGTCCAGCAGAAGAATGGAACTTTCTGTGACACAAAGTGCATGTTGTAAGAGATGAGTTGGCGCTTGGAGGAGATGGAGGCGAGGAGACATTTGAAGGTGGAGGAGGTTTGAGAGTCTTGGCGGGCTCACAGCCTCCAGCCTGCTGGTGGAGTAGCAGCTCTTGCTTGTGGCTGAAGGCTTGTCCGCATGGAGCGCACGCATAGGGGCTATTGTCATGATAGAAGGGATCTTCTGAAGATTCAGTCCCGCAGGAAGGGCAAGAAGAACCTCTCTGAGGTTTCCCCATGCATGTCTGGCACATGGATGAGGTGCGAGAACATTCGTGTAGCTGCAAACTAGAGAGCAAAGCAAATTTTTGGCCACAGTGTTGACAGCAATGGAGCTTTTGCAGGGCGTGCTCTCTTTTCTGGTGATGCTCAAGACTCTTCTGGTCGGAGAATTTGTCGCCGCAGTCTTTGCAGATGGAGGAAGACCGCTGTTGTTTTGGTTTGTACTCGATGCAAGTGATCAGTTGGGCCAGTTTGGATAAGGTGTCTGACATGGGTCTAGCCCTAGTGGGGATCTGGTCACCTTTTGCTCCATTCCAGCAATGTACAGAATCCATATTCCTTTAAGGAAATAAAAAAAAGTAAATCAAATTGATCCCATTTAATCATAAATTCAAAAATGACTTTTAATGTAACATTTTATTGAATATATATATATATATATTGCATATTTACAACTACAAGCTTTTTAATAGAACCAGTTTACATAATTAACCAGGCGAAAATAATAAAAGTAAAAATAATGAAACAAACTGATGTCCTTGGCTATAAAATGAAGACACCTACCACAACTACATGCAGTATTGCTGTAGCACTGACACAGGAAGTTTGCTAGTTGTTTTGCTATGCTGTTGACATGCAAATGACATACAAACTTACCCGCTCGAGGACTTTGTATCACACAAAATAGGTTTCTCGCACATCTATGTGGACATTACAGCAGGTGTTCTCAGGTTCATAAACGCAAAACGCAAGAAATTGTGAGGTTAGACGCACACGGACTTTCACTTCAACTTCCACGCGCTTCTACTAACCTTAACGTAAGGCAGTTTGAAGAACTACAATTCCCATCACCCCCTACGCGTGTACTACATAAATAAACGTGAGTATAAAATTCAATTAAACCCATATGAACATGTAAGGCTGGTTTATTATCAGCTTATTAAAAAGTGGCTCAGGAAAGACTGCCTTATAACAATTTAGACGTTTCATTTTCAATTAATCAAGCATTTATCAAGTGTTTATTTGAGCATTTATCAAGTGTTTATATTAAGGGACAATAAAACAGTGTTGTTGTTAACTAAAACGAAAAACTATGTTTTTGCTAATCGAAATCAAGCGAAAATAAATCAAATAAAATATTAAATATTAGATGAAAAACCGAAGTACTAAAACAGAAAAAAAAATAATACATGACGAAAACACACAAAAAAAATGTTTTAAAACATAAACTAAACTTGAAAACCTATACAATATACAAATTACAATATACATTTATTGACATTTTGAATTTCTGTCTTTTTATTATTTATTCTTCGCTCGTAGACTTTTATTATGAAATGTACACAAGCCGCACATCTTCCCCTAGTGAGGTGGAGTGAAATGACACCCCTCTTACTGGGATTATTAATATCTCTTCATTGTTGTCATTGGATTTATGCACCCATATAATTTATTACCATGATTCAAATAAAACGCGGCAGTTTAGACATTAAATCATAATGATTGTGTCCCTTATGTGACATTCTGTCCTCCTCCGGTCCAGTGGGCGGCAGCTGCACGGTGCCGCATCAGAACAGTGTGTCCCGCACGCCGGCAGCTTATGAAGGCTTCACCGGTTTAACCTCAATCGGTTTCAGCGGAATCGCAGGGTTAAGGGCTACTGAAGTCGAAATATGATTTAACGCACAGCGTGGGTTTGGTCACTGAAAAAACAACCGACGTCTCATTTACTCGTAGAGATGACAGCGAGCGCTTGCTTGTTACTGTGTTAATCGTGTTATTCGAGATTAATCGTTATAATTTTACACACACTGAATAGGTGAAGCTCTATATTTCTGATGGCCGTGTCAGGAGGCGCCCGGCGGATCCCGATGGGTGTGCGGACATTCAGTGAGTTTCTGGAAATAGCGACGGTGGGACCGTGTCGCTCCAGCAGCCCGTATAAATGCAGAGAGAGGATACAGCACTGGCCCATCAGGTAAAACACCGCGTTTACATCTCAGCAGCCCGCTTTGAATAGTGGAATACATTATGTAAACATACAAATGTTAAATAGATTATATAAGGTGCTTCTACTGAATGATTGATGCATCACATCGCTGAACAAATATCGGAACAAAGCGAGCTGGAAAATCCTAAAAAAAAAATAATAATACCGTAGTTACCGCGATTATTATCCACAGATTGTGCTGTCAGTACCAAAAGCTTATTAAAATACCCATGTATTTTAATAGTGACAATATATACACAATTTTAGTTTAATAACGATATGTGTGACCTAAAATGGCATCTGATATTGTTGATTTTAATCGAAAATTGTATCACTGTTTATTAAGAGATACTCGATATAGAATATAAAACAGACAGGAATGTAAATTAAAATAAAATAAATAAAAGAATACAAATTTAAAGATTTTGTTTTAAGATATAGTCAAGAAAGATATAGAATCAAGAATGGAAAGGAAGATAAATTAAAATAGAATGCATAAAAATAATAGAAATGTAAGCAAAAATTATTTTAAACAAATATGATAACGTAGAATTTGATAATAAATTCTGTAATAAACCCTATAACCATAAACCTCCTGATAAGGGCTTAGAAATGGATAAAACGTTTGATTATCAATTATTCTGCGTACATTTAGAAAATGTCGTTTCAGAAATACCAGAATTATTACAGTTCTTGTTACAATAAAACACTGAGGCACAGGCACAGCTGTCATAATAAAAAAAGAAAAAGTATATAAAATGACAGAAAGATTCTTTATACTTATACTAGTAGAATTATTAAGATTTTTACAGTAGTAACAAGAAGCAAGGAGGATTTTATGGTCACTATGTTAACTGGCTGCGGGGGAAGATTCTGAAATTGCTTAAAACGACTGTAAATCACATACATTTTGAAGCATGGCTTATGTGAAGATGCTTGATACCATGGTAATATCATCTTTTTTTGGACATGTACCATGGTAATTTCTTTGAAATTTCACAATATATGAAATATGCTAATCATTCAGTACCATAGTATGATGGTACAATAATCGCAGACCATTCCTGTATGTATTATATGCATTGTATTTATCAGAATCTTGCATTTTTTGTATGTCAGACACCTGTCCTCCTGCGGGATCCTGATGACCCGTCATCCTCGCGCTCTCTGTCTCTCTGAAGTGGATTTGACTCCCACTCATCACAGGAGATCTTTCATCAGCCTCACCAATAAGAGAAAAGAGTATTCAGAGAGGAGAATACTAGGGTAAGTTGACGAACTAATTCTAGGGTAGGTTAAGATTGACCCAGTGTCTGATCCTGAACAATGACCTCTGCTTTTTTCCTCATGGAGGATGAAGGCAAGCTTTTGTGGTGTTAAGTAATAAATTACCAGAGCTGTATTGATCGAGTGGAGGTGGAGCAGCTGGAAACAAAGACCTAAAACAGGGACATAAATACTGAACCATTAATGAAAGACAATATGAATGAATAAATAGTAGTACCTACCAATAGAAATTACGTAAAGTAGAACAAAACACATTTATAGCTTTTGAATGAGCTTTTATTGTTATATTTAATTTTTAAAATGTTTTTATATTTCTATTTAGCTCTAATTTAATTTCAGATTAAGTAGTACTTCACTTTACACTTATTTTATTTCAGTTGCTGATTTTCATTTCTTAAGTTTGTTTTTCATCTAGCATTTATATTTTATGTTATTTCAGCTCTATTTCAAATGACAAAAATGATTCTAAATGAATTTAGTTGATAATAACAACAACGTTTTATTGTCCATTTCTGAAAGTATTTGTATTTATTTCAACTTGATTCTAAAATTAAAAAGATGTACCTGTATTTTGGTCTTTAGGTACTCAATGCAAGAGATGTATGATGTGGTAGCCAACGTGGATGACTACAAACACTTTGTACCGTGGTGTAAAAAGTCCCAGACCATCATGAAAAGAGCCGGTCATGCCAAAGCTCACCTGGAAGTGGGCTTCCCTCCGGTTGTTGAGCGATACACTTCAATGATAAGCCATGTCCGTCCACATCTGGTCAAAGTAAGCCTTCTGTGTGCTCTACAACATCATCACTGAAATGAAAGGAAACACAAATTTTGTAAATAATTATATTCCCCATTTCAGGCAGTGTGTTCAGACGGTAAACTCTTCAATCATTTAGAGACAATATGGCGGTTTAGTCCCGGTATTCCTGGCTATCCTCGCACATGCACTGTAGACTTCTCTGTAAGTATCATTTACAAACGTTTGCTTCCAGTTGACCCTTCGCTAAGCTCTACCCCGCTTGGTTACTGTTGCTAGGCCTGACAAGCTTGCAGAATGTAAAACAGAGAGTATTCATTAATATTTTGAATTAGTTGTTTTATATTTTTCATTTTCATTTTGGTATGTTTTAGTAATTTTGTTGTGTTTTTTTGGCAGATTATTATTAAATATGTCAATTTAGCTTTTATTTTTATTTTAGTTTTAGAAGTTTTAGACATTTTTGTTGTTGTTGTGCTTTTTTTTATTGGTTTTATTGGTTTTTTTCTTTTTTAAATATGTCTGTTTAGCTTTTATTTGATTTTATTGCTGTTTAAGTTTTAGTAATTTTGTTGTTGTTGTTGTTTTTGTTGGTTTTATCAGTTAATAGTTGTTGTTTTTTATGTCTGTTTAGCTTTTATTAGTAATTTTAGTATTTCACCTTAAACTGTGAAAATTAGAAACTTGCCAACTAACTGAAATAAAATAAGTTTACATTTTTTGTATTTGATTTTATTTCACTTAACGTTTTTTTTTTTTTCCCAATTCATGTTATTAGTGCTGGACAACAATTAATCGCATCCAAAATAAAACTTTTTGTGTACATAACATATGTGTGTGTGCTGTGTATATTTATTATGTATATATAAATACACACACATGCATGTATATATTTCAGAAAAATATGTTATGTTTATATGTTAAATATATTTATATATAATATAAATTATATGAATATAAATATATACATGTAAATATGTTCAAAATATATAATGTATGTGTGTCTTTTTATATAAACATGATAAATATACACAGTACACACACACATATAAACAAAAACT